TCTATCTATCTATCTATCTATCTGTCTGTCTGTCTGTCTGTCTGTCTGTCTGTCTGTCAGTTCTGGTAGTACAATAAAGCAGGAGCTAACAGGAATATATATTTGCCGGTACATTTAGACACGGGTGGGCCCTGCTTGAGTCTCTTTCTTGGGCAATGTTACACCCAGTTCAACAAAACCCCTCTCGTCAGTATTTTCAGTCACGGCTGGTGGCGGGGAACTGCTCGGCTGGCGAGGAGACGAGGAACGGGACGTCACCGGGATTCGAACCCGCGTCTCGCTGCGGCGACGCCTTCAACTTCAGCAACTGGCTGGCCCTCCTGTCCCAGCTGCCGCTGCTGCTGTTCACCTTGCTCAACTCGCTCCTCTACCAGTGGTGAGAGGCTCGTTTTCCCCCCCATCCTTCCCCCCCCAGATCCGGCACGAACACATTTCAAGGTTTTCTCTGTGAAGAACCATTGTCACCTTCCCATTTAATGGCTTCTGCGTAAGACAATCGTGGTACTCCCTTCCTTGTGCTTTCTGGTACAACAACCCTATAAGGCAGGGCTGTTTCCATCGTACGTTGGGGAAACCAAGCCCTGGTATGCAGAGGAACATCTCCGCTCATTGCGCCAGTGGAACTCATTGCCACAGCAGCTTTAAAGAGCCCGGTAGAGGATGACCCTACTGAAGGTTACTAGTATGATAGATATATACTACCACCAGAGCCAGGGCCATTCTGGAGAATGTCATGGCCATCATATCCTGCTTGGGGGCTCTCCAGTTGGGGGCAACTGACCAATTGCTATAGGAGGAGAAGGCTGGAGATGCCCCAGTTTAATTGAATTTGTTTTATTGTACAATTCTTAGTTTCATAATTCCTCTAGCCTCGCCTGCGAGGGGAGGCCCAAACCACTTACAGTCCCCCAAAAACAACAGCACAGGAGCAGGCGATAGGTCTCCTTCTCTGTTTCCCTCTGGAACTTGAAAGCCTCGTTATCGCCTCCCCCTGAGCAGGTCCCTCATTCCTCGTTGGTGCTCGGGCAGATGATGCTCTTCTGCTTGCTCGGAAAGAGGTCCTGCACCTTGCATCTCCTTGTGTTCCCCCTTCGGCTTGGCCCACTTAGTCTTTCTTTAAACCCAGCCCTCTTTGCTGAGCCTCCCCAGCCCAGCTATCTCTATCAGGCAGTTCAGCCCTTAAACATTCAATGTCTTCCTTTCCACGCTCGCAAAGCATTCCAGAGGCACTGCGAATCCTGGGCAGCCTCGGTGGGATCCTGCTTCTCTTTGTGCTGACGGCCGTCCTGGTCAGGGTGGAAATGTCCCCCCACGCTTTTTTCTCCGTCACGATGGCAAGCGTCTGGTTCATCAACTGTGAGTCTGTATCATCTCGGGGACCTCTTTTCCCTCCCCTCTTCCAGCCCCCTTCCCCGTGGCCATCGTGGTTTCAGGTATTGCTACAGAGACCCAGTTTCAAATTCCTTTTTCGGCTGGAAGAGCCTCTAAGCCTCTCACTGTCCCTTTTGCCTGGCCTACCCTGCAGGCTTGTTGTGAGAATAAGTAGCGAGGGGGAAGTTCAAATGAGGTACGGCACCTGGACCTTCTTCCATGTAATAATACATGATGATAATCATCTACCCTGTAGATAAGACCTAACCTGAAAATAAGTCCTAGTAGGACTTTTCAGGATGCTCGTCATATACGCTGTACCCCCAAAATAAGCCCTAGTTAATCGAAATCCCACCCTCCACGCTTGTGCAGCAACCAGAAGAAGAGGACAGGACTGTATTTAAATAAACAACGTAGATTGTACATGAAAAAATAAAACACCACTTGAAAATAATGTCTTTGAATAGATTGTTCTATATGGGGAAAAAACATCCCCTGAAAATAAGCCCTAATGCATTTTGGGGAGCAAAAATCTATATAACACCCTGTCTTATTTTCAGGGAAACAAGGTAACAATAGTCGTTGATACTATTGATGGCATATAATTAATTATGGATTAAAATTATATTAGTATAGCGGTGCCTCGCTTAACGACGTTAATTCGTTCCAGTGAAATCACTGTAAGTGAAAATGTCGTAAAGCGAAATTAAAAAACCCATTGAAAACCATTCAATGTGTTCCAAAGGGCTAAAAACTCACCGTCCAGCGAAGATCCTCCATACGGCGGCCATTTTCGGTGCCTGTATAATGAGGAATCCATCCCTCAGCACAGCGGGGAGCCATTTTAAGCACCCGGCGGCCATTTTGAAAACCCGACGATCAGCTGTTTTGATCATCGTTAAGCGAAGAATTGGTTTCCAAAGCAGGGAACCGATCATCGGGAATTGAAAAAAACCCTGTTTAAAACATCATTTTGCGATTGCAATTGCGATGGCAAAAACATCATCTTTAAGCGGATTCATTGTAATGCGGGGTAATCGTTAAGCGGGGCACGACTGTAACTTTAGATTGTCCCCCACGATCAAAGCGCGAAAGATTGGCCCTTTGGCTTTCCAGACACCCCCGTTTTAACCTTGGCCCAAACTTTTTGGACCTTAGCTTCGGTCCATGTCCTCGGTCCCTGAACTCAGACCCGCGCGTTGATCAGTTGTTAAAGGAGAGGAGGCCTCTGAGCATGTTAGGAGTGTGTCTCCTTTCCCGCTGAGGAGCAGGATCTAGCCCGCGAAGCCTCTGGCTCAGAGATGCTGGGGATCCAGGGGAAGACCTTGGCCAAAATTCAGGGTGGTTTGCGGGGGAGAGCTTCGATCCTGCCACGGCTCCGTGTGTCCGTGGGAGGCGGGCCGGAATGAGAGATCCACGGGATTATTCTAATCTCCTCTGCCTTTTCCAACAGCCTTCTGCGCTGTCCTCCAAGGTAGCATTTTTGGCCAACTGGGAGCCTTCCCGCAGCGCTACAGCACTCTCTTCCTGAGCGGCCAAGGCATGGCGGGGACCTTCGCCGCGCTCGCCATGTTGCTCTCCATGGCCAGTGAGTATTATTGGGACCTTGAGCGGGGGATTTCGAACCCAAGCCCTGCGAGGTACAGCTGGCAGGTGGTTTTTAAACTCTAGAGAAGAACTCCAAGGATCCAGAACAGGAGTGGGCCTTTGTATTTACTGAAAAAATAATTTATTTTTTGCTCTGCTTTCCTCCTTTAAAAAAAGGAGCCTTTAAAGGACAATATATGAAGCGGAACACAATGAATATCTAACGTTGGCTTTCATCATCAAGAGACTATATTTAAAGCCAAGGACAAGGAGTATAAAAAGGCAGCTTACATCATTATAAGATGACGTTAAAGCTAAAAATAATTAAGTATACAAATATTAAAAAGGAGCACATCCTCTTTCTTCTGGAAACCTTCAGAAATAGGATTCGGCGGTGAATAAATTGCAAGAATCTAGACGTTGTTGGAATTTCGGCGTTCCTCATCTCATGCCAGTTAAGTCTGGCTGATGTAGTCCAGCCGTATCTCGGAAGGTCTCATCCCTGCCTTCCTAATGAAAAACTGATTTTAGGAACAAAACTAGACGAAACTGGACGTCGATTTCTTCCTTCTTCCAGTTTGATCAAGAGAAGGTCACCCCAAATAATTTCCCCTGGATTTATCCACTTCCGGTCTAGAGTGGCTGTTCTATTAAGAAAGAAAGCACTTTTGAGGCTTCGTAAATTAGGAAAATAAGCAAATAATGAGGGGGCACGACAAGAGTGCCGTAAAACCCTGCATGAAGCGGGGAAACAGACGGAGGGGAATATTTTCCCGTGCGTTTCAGGACGGTAGAACGCAGCTTCGTCATCCTCTGAGACTGAACGTGGAGAGGTTTACCAGGGGCCGGTAGAATTAAAGCCGCCTCTTCCCACAGTGAATGGTGGGCCTGTGGAACTCTCGTCCACAAGATGTAGGAAGGAACAACGACTTGGATGGCTTTAGAAGAGGGTCTGAGGAGTTCGCAAAGTCATCGGGGTGACTTTCCACCTGCAGTCGAGAGCAAGGGAAGGAGAACGGGAGGATCTGCATCATCCCCCATCTTGTTTCATTTCTCCTTCCAGGTGGTGCGGATGCTCAGATCTCTGCTTTGAGCTACTTTGTCACTCCGTGTGTTGGGACCCTCATCTCCATCATCTGCTACCTCTGGCTTCCCCACAGGGTAAGCACGATGCCTCGTGGCTTCCCCCTTCCCTCCCACCCCCCAAACTCCTCCAAAATTAAGCAGGCTTCTGGGTGGGGTCTGAGTTCCAGAGAGGAAAGGCAAGGTGGGGAGGGTCCCCTCGTGGAACGGAGAGGTCGAGGGGGACCGAAACGTCCAGCGCTGGCCCACCTGCTGAGGCAGAAGGGGGTTCCCGGTCTCAGGTGGTCCCATGTGAGGGGTTTGGCAAAACTACCTCCTACAAGGAGGGTGGCCCCCCTCCACAGAGCGAAACCCCCCCACCTGCAGCAGTGGGGGGGTTGGCCATGATGATGAATATCACGGGAATCCCTTTCTACCTAGCTTTGTGGTTCTTTAAAAATGGGGTCATTGATGGACAACAGCACCTTGATTTACGAATGCCTCGGTGAACATAATTTTTGGGGTACGAATGGAAATCTGTTAAAAACAATGTCACGGTTTATGGGGTTTTTTTTCCAGATTTTATTGGGTTTGCAAAGAAATTCTCCCCAGGATGCCTGGCCATTTCGTAAACTGAGGCACCGCTGCATTTTAACGACGTGCCCTTTTGTCAGAGGCCACAAGTTGACAACTCAAGGGCAGTGGGCTTGGGGTAGACCCTCCAAGCCCTTGCTGTCACTCTGATTCAGCCCTGGTGTGTGTGTGTGTGTGTTTCTTTCCCAGTGACTGGGACTTAACTCACAACTTTGAACCCACTCCTCCCTTTTTCCCATGGTGGGGAAGTTTGTTTTTAAATAGAGATTTGGAGGTGGGTATATCAGGGCTTGGTACCAGAGACTCGAACTCAGAACCTGGTACCAAACCTTTGCCAACAAGGCTGCCTCTTGCTGTATGCGTCTTGCCGGGTCAGAGGGGTCAAGGGAGGGCTGCGGGGCGGCGGCAGCTGGACCCGCAAACAAGAGTCTCCCTTTTTCCATGCAGGATTTCGCCTGTCACTATTTGAACCGAGGACCCACGGAAGAGCCGGGATTCGAACTGGAGACCAAGGCTGGCCTTCTTTCCCCAGGTAGGCAGGAAAACGGGAAGTAGGAAACCGCCGGATTTCCTGCGGTGGCGGTTTTTCAAATATTGACGGCGCACTAAATCGTGCACCGCCCCTTTTGAATAGAAGGGTCCACATAGAGTGGTCTGGTGGTCCAGATAGGCAGGGTATAAATCAAATAAATAAATAAATAAACAAACAAATAAATAAATAGTAGTTACATTTTAGGCAGGAAAACGGGAAGTAGGAAACCGCCGGATTTCCTGCGGTGGCGGTTTTTCAAATATTGACGGCGCACTAAATCGTGCACCGCCCCTTTTGAATAGAAGGGTCCACATAGAGTGGTCTGGTGGTCCAGATAGGCAGGGTATAAATCAAATAAATAAATAAATAAACAAACAAATAAATAAATAGTAGTTACATTTCTCTTTAGCACATTGAAAAACTGGAAGGTAAAAAAAATCAGGATGATTTATTTATATGAAAGAAGACACACTTTATAGGGACGAACTCAGCAGAAATATTCGCGTCTCGAAGCAAAACCTTCCAGAATCTGCCTTCTTCGGCGGCTGTGGTCCTCAAGTTTTGATATTTCCGCTACGTTAGTCCCTGTAATAAATACACCGTTTTAGTGACTCACTAGATCCTTGCACAGTCTGACAAAAGGAAAAAAGGGAGAAAAGCTGAAAAAAAAATTTAGTCTGGCAGAAAAGGGAGGGCTTTGTTCCCCCTTTGAGTCTGACGTGCTGTTTGGTATTTTTTTAAAAAAATCTCTGTATTTCTGCTTATAAATGGGCATGCACAGACGGATGTAAACTTAGAAGTATGAACAGAGGCAAATATAATATGAGATAGAAATGTAGCTGGCTAGTAAGGAAATTAACCAGATACCTAGGACCCAGGAGGCCTGGGTTCGAATCCCCACTTGACCATAGCAAGGGAGTAGAACGGGTAAAAAGCCGCCCGGAGACCTTTGGGTAGTGTGGGTGGCATATAAGTTAAATAAATAAATATAAATAATAAAACCATTCCTTAAATATCTCACTTGCTCTGTTACGGTCACTCTAAATTAGTTCCGACTTGACAGCTCATAACATACAGTGTGAATGAATAGCCACGGACAGTGAAAATCACTGAATGTGGCCTCTAAAAAAAAGTCAAGCAGCAACAGGGAAATAAAAATGTCAGATACCACATCCATTTCAATGCCATTTAGCCTCAGTGGCATTTAATTCCTTGGAGATGGGACTGACAAGTTTGTCAGAGTGAACCAGGGAAGGAGTTCAGAAGATGTAGGGGAACCAGCATGCTTTTAGGCCTGTTTAATGTTTTATTGACAGTATATAGGTACAGTGGTACCTCGCTAAACGATTACCCCACAAAACACCAAATCCGCATAACGATGAGTTTTTGCGATCGCTACAGAGATCGCAAGGCTATAGCGATCGCAAAACGATGTTTCCTGTGGGGAGAGTCAAAAACACTTGAAAGGGGTTGGGAAAAAGAGGACTTTCAGCCTCAAACCTGGGAGAGCTGGCTGCCCGTCCGAGTGTCAACACCAGGACAGAGGAACAAGCTACCAACTTGAGCGGAGAGAGGGTGCCCCAGGAAAAGAAATGGCTAAAATTTAAAGAGAACCGCAAGACATCTTGCCATGTCTGCCTGCCTCGTTTCTCCCCTCCTCTGGTTCTGAAACCGGATCTACATCAGGCAGGTTTTTCAACTACGGGATTGACATCCTCCAGCCCAGAATTTCACGGACAGAGTCAGAACTGTCGGACGTGTGGTCACTCTTTCTGGGATTCTGTTTCTTGGGGGAAACCTGGGGAGCGTTCCTCGGAGGTCGTGTTTTGGCACGACATCTCCTATAAACCTACCCCACTGACGCTGCCCACTAGGGGTGATGCACCTCGTCGGGCACAGATATCTGGAGGCTCACATTTGCCTTCTTAGAGGAAGGGGGTTCAGCAGAGCTAAGGTGGAGGAATGGGGGAAGTGCGGAGGATGGATGACGGGGCTGACCACCTCCTCCTTTGACCTCCTTTGTGTTTCAGATCTGGCAGCTGGCCTTGTGTATCGTCGTGGTCTTCTCGGTCACTTTGTCCGTGTTCCCGGCCATCACCGCCAGCGTGGCCAGCACGTCTGAGAACGAAACGTGGGGTGAGTGAGGGAAGGCTGTGTTTTGGAAGGGGCGAGGAGGAGGAGGAGGAGAGCCGGTCCTGGCTGGCGAAGAATTCGGGGTGCTCCCGGTAGATTTGGGACCTCCGAGAAAGGACCGTAGTTCCATCTATACAGCATTATCTGCTCGTGGAAAGTCCCACCTTCAGTTTGAAAGAGGGTTCAGAGGATGGGAAGGGCTCCCTGCCTTTTCTGCATGATCTCCAATTGGCATAGATATATTCAAGATGTGGGTTTTGGGAGTACTTTTTTTTAAATGGAGCACCATACAAGCCTGTTACCACTGATGTCTCTCTCTCTCCCACCCTCCTTGGTATATCAGAGGGTTTTGATGTTTTTTTAAAAAGGATCGGCACCCGCACCTGGGGCAGGGAGCTGTAAAAGTGAATTATGCACAGCAGGTATAAATTTGCATTGTAAATAAAAATAAAAATCACCAGTGGTGCTGTGACTCCCTGTGTGGTGCAAAAAGTGATAATTCCACTGTTGAGTGGATCCATTCTGCAGAATACATTCTCTCTCTTTCTCTCCGAAAAACCTGTTGTTGTGTTTTTTTGGGGATGACAGCCGTGCGAGTTCCAGGTGCCTCTCTCCGACTCCGCTTTTCACTTGCTTTCTCTCTCCCTGCCAGGCAAGTTCTTCACTCCGGTTTGCTGCTTCCTCCTCTTCAACGTCATGGACTGGCTGGGCCGCAGCGCTACCTCCTATTTCCTCTGGGTAAATGACAGGGGTTTTGATGGGGGATGGTGTCAGAAGCGGGATTCAATCCTGACGAGTTCTGCTCCGTGTTGGGGGAAGCAGCATCACCAGCATCCTAGAGGAGGAAGAGTAACAGTGTTCGTCTCTTGTGGCAAAGAAGATAAAAAAAAAAATAGGGAGGGGAATGTTTATTGTGGCATAAAGTTTTATGGCTTTTTTCCCCATAGTGCAACCCCATTTGCCAAAAACACGGGACATGCTCCAGGATATGGGATGAGCTGGTTTGCGTTTTTCTTTCCGTGGACCGTAGGTGCAAATTGGCTCAGAGTTCCCCCTGACCAATCTGTGGCCTTTTCCTCCGCCGCTGGGGGCTTCTGCTTTTTGAAACCGTCAAAACCATTTGCATCGGTTCAGAGGGTGCGATTGCTTGAACCGATGCAGAAAACTGTGATCTTTCGGTTTCTGTCATTCCCCTCTGGGCAGAATATACCTTACCTACCCTTAAAAAAAAAACAGATTGGTGCCATCGCCTTTGCACTATGGCATCTAGAAAGGGGGCAGGGGAGAGAAGGAAACAAGAGGTGAAAATTGCCACTCTGCTGGCCTTGTTTACAGCTTGTTAAGTAGTTCTCTTGTAACCATATCTCCTGCAATGAACGATGTTAACAAGCTGCAAACAAGGCTGTTTAGCTAATTTCCTTTCCTCCCCTTGTGGCTGATTGATTTGAACAGACCTGGAGAAACCTGAATTCCCAGATGCAACTTGACAAGGAGTGAATTCACATTTCTCTCTCCGTCAGAAACATTCTGCACACACTCCTTCCGTGTGGAGAAGCCGAGTGAACCAGCAGTGGCATTTCAACACGGACCACAGGAGAGGGTCCTAGCGGGTCACATTAGTGGCAGAGCAGGGTGAAGGAGGCATAGGATGGGATTTATGGCCCACACAGCCCCTTCCCCAAGAAGGGAGCCTCCAAGGACCTCAGGAGAAGCTAGCAGGACAACAATATCTGTATTTGCTGCCCTCTGAAGCTGCTGTCTCACCTTACTTAAAAACACGGGCTGGCCCTTTGCTCAGGAAGTTTTATCTTCATGCCGCAGATTATGCAGGCACTTCCCTGAATCCTAAAAACATATTCAGTGGGTGTCCTATACCTTTTCTCTGCGTGGGCAAGGTTTTTATTCTTCATTTGGAGAAGGGTTTCCCTGTCCTTTTCAAAATCTGGGGTGAGGATTCTTTTTCTTTCTCTCTAGCCAGAGAAGCTCTTGCGGCTGATCCCCGTGGCGGTGGGCCTGCGCCTCCTCTTTATCCCCCTGCTCCTCCTGTGCAACGTGCCCCAGCGCACCTACTTGCCCACCCTCTTCCGGCAGGACGCCTGGTTCATCCTCTTCATGGCCGTTTTCTCGCTTTCCAACGGCTACTTCGTCTCCCTGACCATGTGCCTGGCACCGAAGTGAGTGGAACATGTGTCTGTCTGTCTCTCTGTCTGTCTATCCATTCATTCATTCATTCATGCATTCATGCATTCATTCATTCATCCAATCATGCATGCATTCATTGATTCATTGATTCATGGATCCATCCATCCATCCATCCATCCATCCATCCATCCATCCATCCATCCATCCAT